AGGTCCGGCAGGAGATGGAGGAGCAGATGGCTCAGAAGTCCAGCGAGCTGGACCAGTACCTCCAGCGGGTCAGAGAGCTCGAAGACATGTACCACCGGCTGCAGGAAGCCCTAGAGGACGAGAGGCAGGCCAAGCAGGATGAGGAGGCCATGAGGAAGCTGCAGGCCAGGTCTCAGAAACAAACCTAGCATGACCAAGTCGAGTTCAAACTGTTAATAGTTAGCTTAAGAGAGATAAGCTAACTATAATGTGTTGAGTTAAGCAAACTGTAGCTGTGATAACAGTCAAACAGTACAGGGAAAAACATATTTTAAAGAAAAGCAGCACAAGTATCCGACTTAACTTCATTAACAGGCTGAGCAACCTTAGAGACATAGGGGCTTTGTCAAAGTTTAACTGCTGGCATTAATGACCGGTGTGCAAATCACATCATTTTCGGGTTGGTTCATATTCATTTTATCATGCCAATGCACAAGAAAATGTCAACACCCTCCTTCTGATCAAGCATGTGGCGACAGTGCAACGGAAAAACTCACTTTTAACAAGAAGAAACTCTCAATCTCTGCCCTGTTCGTACAACAATGTGTGGTGCTTCCCTGTTCTTCTGAAACGCACAGGATTATTTAAATACATATTAAGAGTGTTTGCTGCTTTTATAACAGGTTACTGGAGGAAGAGGCGGCAAAGAGGACGGAGCTGGAGCAGATCTACCTGAAGCAGAAGAGGACGCTGACTCAGACGGAGGCGGAGAAGGAGGAGCTGATGGCCGAGCAGCTGGCCAAGGAGAGAGAGCTGCAGGCGGCGTCTCAGCAGCTGGACAGACTGGAGAAGGAACGGCAGGGGGCGCTGGAGCAGTATCAGGTTCATAACCATTCATAGATCAGAAGTAAATATTTATGTTTTTAGCATTACAAATGAAACGTTTTCCCTTTGGTAGTAGAAGAAGGTAATTTAATAAATAATAAAATTCCCTACTAAATAACAGTTAAAACAATAAATTAAAATGTAAAAAAAAAAAAAAACAACAAAATGTATACAACATGAATTTCATCTGTTCAACTTGCTGAAATTAAGACGTGAGTGTGTGGAGTTTGCTGACATCTAGTGGCAAAGTTGTACACTACAACAATTAATTTTGTACCATCTCTCACTCTCTGTCTCTCCATCCGTTGGATATGACAGTCTTAGACAGTTTTTATATTCTCAATCAAGCATCCGTACATTGGGATTTTCTCAAGTCAGATTAAACACAGAAACCTCTGATATGTTTTCTGAAAATGTTTGTTATAAGGGGAGCGAAAAGCGATTAAATTTGACCACTGTAGAAAGCTTTCAAAATAAATTTTTAATTTATTTTAAGGGAACAAATGACAACTTAGCCGAAGCTGAATTTAATTAATAATTTCTGACAGTATGTCATCCTAAATCCTTATCAGTACAGGAGAAAATATATTTTTTAAATGATCTATCTCTGCCTTTTCTCCTCTTCTAAAGGAGGTATCACGAAAACTGGAGCGAGCGGCCAACAAGACAAAAACTTGGAAAGATAAAGTGGCCAAACACGAAGGGCTGGTTCGTCTCATCCAGCCAGGTAGGATAAATTCATTCACCCTTTAGCCGTAAGGGTCTGCCGTGAATTAACACCGACAATGGCATTCTGTAGGTCAGAGGTCAAGAAACAGTGTTTCTCTCTGTGGCTTACATCTGTTTGTGCTGTTTGGCTTAGGTCATAAAGGAGCTCAGAGAATCACTAACTGGGGCCCGGCCTCGTTCACCGACATTGAGCTGGAGCTGAGGAAGAAGTCCTGGCAGGAGAAGAAGAACCAGGGAGCTCCGGCTGAATGAAGGACGCTTCGAATAAACCGGTGACCTCTTGACACATCATCAGTTAGTTGAAGCTCAGAAAATAGTTTCTCAAGATCCTAGAGACGATTCATCCAATTGTATAAAGCGGCCGCCTTCTCTGCTTTTAATGCGAGAAATTAAGATTCCCATTCATTTCTTTTCAACTCAAAAATATTTAATTCCATCTGTTTCAGTGTTTAAGTCTTCAATCTAAACTGGTTTTAACATAAATAACATGAACTGATATGTATTTTGTAATAAACACCGTTCAGTTTTGTATGCCGGTGGGAGTTGATTTCTGTCTGATCTCTGCTTTAAATAACCATTTTCATAACAAAAGCCGACTTAAATGTAACCACATTTTTTCAGTTTTATATGAAAGCCTTTGTAACTTCTGCTTCATCCACTAGGTGGCAGCACGATAACGGGACATTTTGATTTGTATTACCTGTGCAGGAGCAGAAGTCTGCTGCTGCTCTTAAAAATACTCAAGGGAATGTGTGAAACACAAACAAGTATAAAATCATTGCTTTAATAGTATTTTAGTATACTTATTGAGTAGCTTTTGTCTTGTTCCCCCCCCCCCCCCCTGTTGTTCTTAAATGCATCACATGCCCTGCAAAAGTATTCACACCTCTCTAGGATTTGTCAGGTTATTCAATGAGGTTTTATGTGACAGACCAACAAAAGATGCATAAATGTGAAGTGGAAAGAAATGTGGTTTGTCTTTTCATGCAGTCTCCTTTACTATGGTAACAGAAAATGGAAAGAATTCCCTTCAGAAGTTAGACAATTACTCCATTTGTGTGTAGTTACCCGTGAAAGTGTCACGGTTTAAAATTGTTTTTATTTTAGACAACATTAATGAGCAAACATAATCATGAAGATTGCGACACACAGCAGACAGGTCAGGGGAAAAGTTGTGGAAAAACTTAAAGCACGTCTAGGTTAGAAAACAACATCCCAACTCCAAACATCTCACAGAGTGTTGCTTAATCCAAAAGTGGAAAGAGTATCACACAACAGCAACGACATTGTCATGGTCTTGAAATGACAGTCTGGGCAAAGGAAATGTTCATCAAAGAAGCAGCCAAGAGTGCTATGACAACTGGGTTTTATGAAAATGTGGCAATAAAAAAGCATTAAAAGTATTTTTTTTGTTAAAGTTTGCAACAAGCTGCGTTGACATCACAGAGGAGGAAGATCTTCTAATTGGGTATCCAAAATGTATTTGTTTTTGCCCTACATAGAAAATGCTGTGTGACTGAAACCTCCCAGACAGTACACTGAACATACTATCCATGTGGTGATACATAAAGGTGGCAGTGTTATGATGAGGGGATGCTGTTCATTAGCGGTAGCAGGGAAGCTGGACAGAAAATGGATTGAGCTCATTACAAAGCAATCTTTGAAAGAAAACCTGGTGGGTGCTTCAGAGGACTTAAAACTGGGCCAGTGGTTCACCGTCCAGCAGAACTCTAAATAGATGACCTGAACTGCAATGGAATAGCTTAGATCAACGCATATCCAGGTTCTAGAATGGCCCAGTCAAAGCCAAAAACCCTGAATATTGTCGTTCACAGATGATCTCCTTCTAATCTGACTGAGGCTGCAGCTATCGAGCAGGAAGATTGGAAAAAATCTTAATATCTAGTCATACAAAGTTGGTAGAAACATAACACAAACTTGCAGCCTTAACTGTACTGATTCTATAAAGTCTTGACTCATATTTAAAAATTAAAGTTTAAGGTTTCTAACTTGATGAAATGTAAAAAAAGAAAAAAATGTATTTATTAACCCTGCAAAATATATTTGGAGTGTATGCAAAGTGCACAGTGATCCATGAGCACATTAGATTCAACTAAATGTAAGTTTCAGCAAATTAAACTTGACATTTTCAAGTGTTTTTAAACGTATTCTAATACCTATGCTCCGGTCTAGTTCAAAATCATCCAGACAATTTGGCATCTCTCTCAGTGTTTTCCTCCTGGAGGACTAAAAGATGTCCTTCTTCTTCTTCTTCTTCTTCTATTTGAGTCTGGAACAAGATGAATCAACATCTGAAAGCTTTGAGCACCTTCTGTCATCGTCTCGGTTCAGATTTCTAAAAGGCGCTGATGTAAGCGGTGCCCTAATCTCATGAGACAAACCGATACAGGAGCTGACACAACCTGCTGAAGGAGAGGCTGCATTACCTCACTTAAAACCACTTTCACTCACTGTGGTGGATCAAAATCTTCAGAGGGGAACCTGATGACACCCGATGTTGAAAGTGATATCAGCGAGACAAAGCGTCACGTTAGTTTGGTAGATGCTGCATAATCTGGCTTATTGTTCCAGTAATCGCACGGCGAGATTAATTTCCCCTAATGCACGCGACGTGCAGCAGTAAGATGCTGGTGTCAAAACAAACCACTTTGAGATAACAAAGGGCCTCTGTTCGCCTCACGCACGTCTCAGGTTTTGTCCTCCGCGCCGTCGCGCTTTGGTTACAGGAGCATTGTACCTGGGTGAAGCTGTCAGAGCTGGGCACTGGCTTTGACTCGTGTCTGCCAGGCTGCACAATGAGCTTCTTCAGTCAGCGCAACACCAACGTCAGCCTGTTGTTCTTCTGTTTCTGCTTCAACTTCTTCTTCTTCGAGAGACGGCTTAGAAATGAAACAGAGTTCACGTCGAGTTCAGAGCTGACAGAGCAGGAGACGAGATAAGAACCTGCATTCACACCACTGACACCATGCACGCATCTATACACCGGCAGCGCACAGATAAGATCAGATACAGAGACAGATTGCCCAAGTGTCTGAGCTCATGCTGCTGAGATTCACCATGATGGAAAGATTTTTTGGTTCTTNATATGACAGTCTTAGACAGTTTTTATATTCTCAATCAAGCATCCGTACATTGGGATTTTCTCAAGTCAGATTAAACACAGAAACCTCTGATATGTTTTCTGAAAATGTTTGTTATAAGGGGAGCGAAAAGCGATTAAATTTGACCACTGTAGAAAGCTTTCAAAATAAATTTTTAATTTATTTTAAGGGAACAAATGACAACTTAGCCGAAGCTGAATTTAATTAATAATTTCTGACAGTATGTCATCCTAAATCCTTATCAGTACAGGAGAAAATATATTTTTTAAATGATCTATCTCTGCCTTTTCTCCTCTTCTAAAGGAGGTATCACGAAAACTGGAGCGAGCGGCCAACAAGACAAAAACTTGGAAAGATAAAGTGGCCAAACACGAAGGGCTGGTTCGTCTCATCCAGCCAGGTAGGATAAATTCATTCACCCTTTAGCCGTAAGGGTCTGCCGTGAATTAACACCGACAATGGCATTCTGTAGGTCAGAGGTCAAGAAACAGTGTTTCTCTCTGTGGCTTACATCTGTTTGTGCTGTTTGGCTTAGGTCATAAAGGAGCTCAGAGAATCACTAACTGGGGCCCGGCCTCGTTCACCGACATTGAGCTGGAGCTGAGGAAGAAGTCCTGGCAGGAGAAGAAGAACCAGGGAGCTCCGGCTGAATGAAGGACGCTTCGAATAAACCGGTGACCTCTTGACACATCATCAGTTAGTTGAAGCTCAGAAAATAGTTTCTCAAGATCCTAGAGACGATTCATCCAATTGTATAAAGCGGCCGCCTTCTCTGCTTTTAATGCGAGAAATTAAGATTCCCATTCATTTCTTTTCAACTCAAAAATATTTAATTCCATCTGTTTCAGTGTTTAAGTCTTCAATCTAAACTGGTTTTAACATAAATAACATGAACTGATATGTATTTTGTAATAAACACCGTTCAGTTTTGTATGCCGGTGGGAGTTGATTTCTGTCTGATCTCTGCTTTAAATAACCATTTTCATAACAAAAGCCGACTTAAATGTAACCACATTTTTTCAGTTTTATATGAAAGCCTTTGTAACTTCTGCTTCATCCACTAGGTGGCAGCACGATAACGGGACATTTTGATTTGTATTACCTGTGCAGGAGCAGAAGTCTGCTGCTGCTCTTAAAAATACTCAAGGGAATGTGTGAAACACAAACAAGTATAAAATCATTGCTTTAATAGTATTTTAGTATACTTATTGAGTAGCTTTTGTCTTGTTCCCCCCCTCCCCCCCTGTTGTTCTTAAATGCATCACATGCCCTGCAAAAGTATTCACACCTCTCTAGGATTTGTCAGGTTATTCAATGAGGTTTTATGTGACAGACCAACAAAAGATGCATAAATGTGAAGTGGAAAGAAATGTGGTTTGTCTTTTCATGCAGTCTCCTTTACTATGGTAACAGAAAATGGAAAGAATTCCCTTCAGAAGTTAGACAATTACTCCATTTGTGTGTAGTTACCCGTGAAAGTGTCACGGTTTAAAATTGTTTTTATTTTAGACAACATTAATGAGCAAACATAATCATGAAGATTGCGACACACAGCAGACAGGTCAGGGGAAAAGTTGTGGAAAAACTTAAAGCACGTCTAGGTTAGAAAACAACATCCCAACTCCAAACATCTCACAGAGTGTTGCTTAATCCAAAAGTGGAAAGAGTATCACACAACAGCAACGACATTGTCATGGTCTTGAAATGACAGTCTGGGCAAAGGAAATGTTCATCAAAGAAGCAGCCAAGAGTGCTATGACAACTGGGTTTTATGAAAATGTGGCAATAAAAAAGCATTAAAAGTATTTTTTTTGTTAAAGTTTGCAACAAGCTGCGTTGACATCACAGAGGAGGAAGATCTTCTAATTGGGTATCCAAAATGTATTTGTTTTTGCCCTACATAGAAAATGCTGTGTGACTGAAACCTCCCAGACAGTACACTGAACATACTATCCATGTGGTGATACATAAAGGTGGCAGTGTTATGATGAGGGGATGCTGTTCATTAGCGGTAGCAGGGAAGCTGGACAGAAAATGGATTGAGCTCATTACAAAGCAATCTTTGAAAGAAAACCTGGTGGGTGCTTCAGAGGACTTAAAACTGGGCCAGTGGTTCACCGTCCAGCAGAACTCTAAATAGATGACCTGAACTGCAATGGAATAGCTTAGATCAACGCATATCCAGGTTCTAGAATGGCCCAGTCAAAGCCAAAAACCCTGAATATTGTCGTTCACAGATGATCTCCTTCTAATCTGACTGAGGCTGCAGCTATCGAGCAGGAAGATTGGAAAAAATCTTAATATCTAGTCATACAAAGTTGGTAGAAACATAACACAAACTTGCAGCCTTAACTGTACTGATTCTATAAAGTCTTGACTCATATTTAAAAATTAAAGTTTAAGGTTTCTAACTTGATGAAATGTAAAAAAAGAAAAAAATGTATTTATTAACCCTGCAAAATATATTTGGAGTGTATGCAAAGTGCACAGTGATCCATGAGCACATTAGATTCAACTAAATGTAAGTTTCAGCAAATTAAACTTGACATTTTCAAGTGTTTTTAAACGTATTCTAATACCTATGCTCCGGTCTAGTTCAAAATCATCCAGACAATTTGGCATCTCTCTCAGTGTTTTCCTCCTGGAGGACTAAAAGATGTCCTTCTTCTTCTTCTTCTTCTTCTATTTGAGTCTGGAACAAGATGAATCAACATCTGAAAGCTTTGAGCACCTTCTGTCATCGTCTCGGTTCAGATTTCTAAAAGGCGCTGATGTAAGCGGTGCCCTAATCTCATGAGACAAACCGATACAGGAGCTGACACAACCTGCTGAAGGAGAGGCTGCATTACCTCACTTAAAACCACTTTCACTCACTGTGGTGGATCAAAATCTTCAGAGGGGAACCTGATGACACCCGATGTTGAAAGTGATATCAGCGAGACAAAGCGTCACGTTAGTTTGGTAGATGCTGCATAATCTGGCTTATTGTTCCAGTAATCGCACGGCGAGATTAATTTCCCCTAATGCACGCGACGTGCAGCAGTAAGATGCTGGTGTCAAAACAAACCACTTTGAGATAACAAAGGGCCTCTGTTCGCCTCACGCACGTCTCAGGTTTTGTCCTCCGCGCCGTCGCGCTTTGGTTACAGGAGCATTGTACCTGGGTGAAGCTGTCAGAGCTGGGCACTGGCTTTGACTCGTGTCTGCCAGGCTGCACAATGAGCTTCTTCAGTCAGCGCAACACCAACGTCAGCCTGTTGTTCTTCTGTTTCTGCTTCAACTTCTTCTTCTTCGAGAGACGGCTTAGAAATGAAACAGAGTTCACGTCGAGTTCAGAGCTGACAGAGCAGGAGACGAGATAAGAACCTGCATTCACACCACTGACACCATGCACGCATCTATACACCGGCAGCGCACAGATAAGATCAGATACAGAGACAGATTGCCCAAGTGTCTGAGCTCATGCTGCTGAGATTCACCATGATGGAAAGATTTTTTGGTTCTTGTTTGCTTGATTTACAGAGCAACAACAAGAACAAAAAAAAAAAAGCCTGTTTTTGTTGAAATTGTTTTTATTGCAGTGTTTTTCAAGAACTATCCTACTGTGTGTGTGTTTTCTAAACAGATTTACTGTTCACATATCTTCTTGAGGAGGTATTTATATCTCAGAATCTGAGAAATGGCAACCTTTTTTTTTTCTTTGTTTGTTTTATTTAAAAAACTATTCTCAGAATCGGGAGTCTCTGATCTCCGTAGCTAAATTGCACAAGTCTTCCACATTCCAGGTTTAAGAATTTCTCTAACTGTCTCATCCTTACCCCATGTGTACGAAAAGTAGCCCTAATGCCCATGACCAATTCATCTGGTTTCCATCCAAAACATCCTGGTCCAAACTGGAAAATTTTTATGGGATAGTGTGAAGAAATGTCTTGCAGATGGCTCCTCACAGTGCTGGACTTTTGGAGGGAAAAAAAATGTCAAGCTGCTTTGGAAATCTTCATTTTTTAACCCCCCTTAGTGCAAATTGAATGGTTAATTGAACTTTTCTTGTGCACGGATGAACGGCTCATCGGCCGAAGCGTGCATTGAGTAGACCCCCATGTGCTGGCAAGCTGACATCATTCTGATTTCTGCAATGGGAGTAAATGACGTGCGATTAGCTTTTAGGGTCAGAGCAGGTGCCCGCAGAGGCAAACCCTCAGCATCTTTGAATCCTATCGCCCATATTGCTGACGCCCAAAGGAAATGAGAACACATCTAGCATTCACTGCAGCCACAGGGTTACTAGGATAATAGGACTTAGAGGACCAATGAAATAAATCAATATTACGTGTCAGCGGGGTATTTTTGGGGGTCCGCGGAAAGGCCAGTCAGCTTGTTTTTCAAGTTGTTTTATCCAATTGCACAGCTGTGACTGCGCTGAAAGAGTGTTGGATCCAAAACAAGCAGATACGTGCAGGCCTGAATTTATAGACTGCTTTTGATTTGTCTTCTTTTATTTGAGAGCGGCACGCTTCCAGCCAACTCAGGCAAATCACTGAACCTTGAGGAAAAAAAAAATAAAAAATGTGGCCAAGTTACACAAGATTACCATTACAGATATGCATGCTAAAACACTGCTGACCTTTGGGATGATGGAGGCTTTCATCAGTAATTTGTCATCAGAGGAGAAATCAGTTGCAGGAGCTGTAATGCACCTAAACTCACGTCATGGGTTATGTAACCAAGAAATTTCTTTCATCTTGTCCTACTTTCATACAGCTAATCTAAATCAGTGTGGTTTGATCCAGTCAGGCTAGTGCAGCCATGGAGAATCAAAAATTGGATGAAATGACTCTTGGGAAACCACCAATTCCAATTCGAAGAGAAAATAATTCCAATCATGCCATTCCACGCAATCCTGCAGGACAACATCCGCTGCATCCCTCCGTTTGTGGGCCTGATCTCCGTGCCGAAAGGAAGCATCGAAAAAATGGAGGGAACTGCCAAAAGGTCTGCCCAGATGTTAGGCTGATGAAGCTTTGCACCTGCTGCCGCTACATGGCAGCTGTTCGATTGTACTGTGGGACAAAACACCCACCACATCCCTCCAGAAAAAACAAAACAAACACCCGATCTCCCTCTGACCTCAGCTTCCTCCTCCGAGTGAAACCTTGAAGGAGAGCTGCTCTGATCCGCCAATCAGGCGCCAAACGCCATGAGCTCAGGCCCTTAACCACATCCACCTCTGGCAAGGGGAGAAACCTGTATTCATAACAGAAAGAACAACTTGGTGTTTGGTTACCTTTAATTAAGAGAATATCTTTATTAAATTTGAATTGTTTCTAAGAGGTCAGAGAAAAAACATGGCAACTAGAAATAGTGGAAGTTTTCCTGTGTATCATATGACTCACTTAAGTCACATCGGCTGCTCTGGGAGGAAACAATTTCTACATGTAGGACTGCAGGTACAGCTCTTATTTAGCAGATAATTACTACTTTATAAAGCAGAAAAACCAAAGATCATATGGAGTTACAGTGAGCTACAGTGATGGTGGAACACTGACAGAGGAGGGCTGAGCAGAATGTGACCGATATGACTGGTTTAACCCAACATGGGATTAGTGTGGCCCTTTAAAATGAAGCTTACTGAAAATAAAAAAAAGCCTCAATTATTAGCCTTCTCTCTAAAATAAGCTTTTAGCAATTTTTCTTATTTATTAGCCATGTTTAGCACACTGAATGGAGGAAGTCAATGTAACAAACATGCTAGTTATACCCGTATGTTCCTCGCAGCATTTAGGCTAACATTAGCTTTTTGGCTAATTTTAGCTTATACAGTAGTTTTAACATACTGAATGGAGTAAGATCATCTTAGTCAATATGCTTGTGATTCTCCACATGCTATTAATATTACTTTAGCTAAACTTAGCATTGATGCTAATTTTTAGCATCAGAACGCTGGGTTCCCCCGTTTAAATTTCTTCAGAAATGTTCTAGTCGTTAAACTTATTTTCTTACCGACCACCTTTTACAATATTGGCAGTGAACACTGAGACATGGAAACCCCCCAAAATTCCAGCGTGGACGCTACGCTGTCAGCGTAACTGAAGAAATTTAGAAATTGCTTCAGAAATGTTACAAAATGGAATAAAACAAAACCAAAAGCTTAAAATTCTGTAGGCAAATGTAGAAACCCATCACAAATCTTC